TTTTCATAACATTAGACAGTGATATATCCAAAACAGAACAGTATCAGAGGCATAAATGGCTTATCAAAATGGGAAAATGTTATGCGAAACAGGCAGTGCACACCTGGCCAAGCTTAATTTCTCCCCTGTTAGGATTGTATAGCACATGAATGTTACAAACCACAACTTTACTAGAGCCTGTCAAGCTGCAGAATGTTAAATTTATGTTATACTGAGAATGCAAAAATATCACATAGTAAAAAAATGAATAAAGATTAAAAAATTAAAAGAAAACACTTAAGAGGCGTTTGATACTCGGAAAGTTTTTGCACCCCCTGGAATTGAATATCTATATAATCCACCTCTATTAAAAATTAAAATTAGCTATTTTATTTTAAAATTAATTAAAGCGCATCATTGAAGAAAAATCAATGATTAAAAGAGAGGGAGGGAATAGTGCGTGTTAGTTTTCATTTCAACTGCGCAACATAAAACACTAACTCCAAAACCCTAAGCACAGGCAGAGTAGGCAGTGTTGGGTTAAAACCATCTTCTTCTTCATACCATAGAAACCAAACAGAAGAATAAGAATTATGGGCGTATTTGAACCTTACAGAGCAATCGGATGCATCACAAGCAGCGTCCCTTTCTCTGTTCAGAGACTCGGCACTGAAACTTTCGTTACTGTCAGCGTTGGAAAGGCTTTTCAGATTTATAATGTAATTTATCACCCTCCTGCAAAGGACTTCTATTAGTTTCTTATTTTTTTATTTGTTAAATTCACTAATATTAACTTATTCACTTCATTGAGAAAGTTGTGGTCTGAAAATTTAAAGGTAGAAATATGAAAGAGGAACATACCACTAAATCGTCGCTCTTGGAGATTTAAAGGACCTTCGCTCCTAGACCAGTGCGTCTCGTCGGAGCAGGCAAATCGCAACCCCGGTATAGCGTCGTCCACTGCAGTGATCGAATGGCTAAGGGTTTTGTGATGAATCGCACGAATCTGGGCAAAGGGTTCTCACTGTGTCGTTGCTCCTCCAAGAATCGTCGCTCCTGGACCAGTCCGTTTCGTCAGAGCGGAAAATCACAACCCTAATTCTAAATAATACAAAACCTCAATGTCTTCAGCAACCCCTAACTCAATGCAGTTTAAACGCCGCGTTTCTTCTGTTTAGTTACCTACGTAATTTTTTCCTTAGATAACTAAACTTTACCTACGGAAAAAATTCCGTAGGTAATACTCTGAAGATAACTAAAAATTACCTACGAAAAAAATTCCGTAGGTAATATTCCGTAGATAACTAAAAATTACCTACGAAAAAAATTTCGTAGGTAATATTCCATAGATATTAACAGTTTTTCTTGTAGTGTAAGGTGCATGTTCCTAAGTTACACTTAGAACTCCTTAGTCTATAGAGATAAATACACTATGGTACATTTGACTCTATAAGCTCTGTCTCTGGTTTCATTGCTTCATGAAATTGATATCACTCTTTGCCAACCTTTCTAGGTTTGAAGTTATGACATATATATAGTCTTGTAAAATTTGTCCGTTACAAGTGTCCGTTGAAGCAGGATGTAGTCTTTCATGACTAGTTTGATCTTTCATTTAATGCATTAGATCTTGCATTAAATGTTTCTTCCTATTTATAGATATTGCGTGAAGTCTTCTACATTTGTTAGCAACAGTGTCTGACTTTAGCTGAAACCTAGGATCTTTTTGTCCTTTTTCGGTCGCGTAGTTGTAGAGGCGTTGTCTTTATCTAAAATGATGTACTTTTTTCTGACACAGGCATGCTTTTACTTTTGCACTTGTATTTCTTCTTTTTCTTTTCTTCCTTTCATCGCGCGATCATGTTGAGAGCTTTTGTATGATTGTAGACGATTCCTAAATTGTCCCTTGAGACTTGATTTTTCAAATGCTTGCTTGGCAGTCTTCGTCTGCGTTTGATAGTCCATGTGCATCTCAAGTCTTGATCTTTGTCTAAGCATTTTTCATTAATGCTTTGACTTTCTTTGGTCTGGTCAACACTGTAGATGGACAGACTTTATTTTTGTCTAGAATACTTTTCAATATGTGTTGTCCTTCGTCTAATATTTAGTTGACTTTCTTCTGATCTTTGACCAACCTTCATTTGAGTTCTTATGTTGCGCTCTAGGTTGTCCTTGACACACCTTCGTCTCATATTTGATTTATCATTGTCTGGCACACATTTCATATTCCACCTATCATTTGACTTGCTTTGTCTAATCCTCGTGTTGTGCTTTGCTTTGATTAGTATTCGTCTGGCACTTAAAGCTTTTACCCTTTATCTTGGTTATGGTGTAGGAAGTGGCACATGCTCTATTCTTCAACTTGCCTGTACTTATGTTTTTCTGAAACACTAACTCACTTGTTAGTAATAACAACATGTATTATATTTGTTTCATTTAAAACCTTGCTAGGAATTGCTTCATCTGACTTAACACACACCCGTGTCAATGCATCACATGTCCAACACCATGTCATGCACACGCTCGAGCCGATGCATCACACATCCAACTCTGTGTCACCCACATGCTCGTGCCGATTGAGGGCTAATCTTGCTACTCAACATTTATTCCTGCACCCTAAGCGAGGTTTCTTCCTCCCCCTTATCTTGATTAATCGAAGGCGAAGGGTGAGCAATCTCTTGATGACCTTCCCCTCTTTGTTCTCCCGAGTCTTCAGATCACGAAGCGTACGTAAGAGGAAACATAAGGCAGAAGTGAGAAGCGTAAAACATAACTCTAAAGTCATTTTTACTTAAAAAAAATAATAACAAAATTACTATTACGACCTCCCTTTCACCCTTTTATAAAATAATTAAAATAATCAAAATATACTTCCTCCTTTTAATTAAAATAACATATTCTTAACCTTAAATAAAATATATTTCCATAAGAATCTATCTTATATCAAACAATTGAAATACTTATCATAATAGCATGTCTTATATCAAAATAGAACTCACATAAAATAGTTAAAATTATTAAAATTCTTCCAATAATTACATTTAAATATTAAAATAATTATTAAAATATTCTTAATTTTTTATTTATGAAAATTGAGGTGTTAGAGGAGGTGGAAGTAAGGAACTATTATTAAAAGTCATTGGTTAAAATTTTTTGAGTGGATTTTTTTTGCTGATTTTCTCTCACGTGCAAACTCTGTTCTTTAGATTTTTTTTCTCTCTTCCTCACAAGCCCTTAAAGATCAATGAAATTCTTGATATCATGTTAAAAATGAAAATTGATAAATAGGAAGAAAGAAGAGCAAATGAAAAAAGATAGCTTGTACAGTGAAGATTCAAAATATAAAAAAATTCTATGAAATATTCATTTAAATTGAGTCTATTTTAAAAGTAAAAAATGACCGATTTTAAAAGTGTTTTTTTACTAGTGCCAATCTTCTCCTTCTCTGCAACGCTTTACATAAAAGTTCCTCAAATTGTATAGTATCACAGTAGTAATTTAATAAAATTTAACGCATTTATATCGATATATAAAAGACATTTTCTTAATTAATATATAGCCAACAAAAAGGACAAAAGGAGCTCACAAAAAAAACAAATTGATAAAGAAACTATGGGCAAAGCAATGGTAACCGAACAAATCATGCACAAGATCAAGCCGCAAATTCAAAAGCATCTAATGTGACCAAATCAAAAACATGCATAAGATGACAATGTTATATTTCTCCTAACTGCACCAATGATCAACACTTGAGAAATGAACAAAATGTGTTACTCTTGGAAAAATAATGTTTCTACATGTACTGTGTAACACCGCATTTTTCTTATTTCAATTTTATTTTATTTTAATTGAGGGTATTTTGGTAATTTTATAAAGGTGATAGGGGTGATTTAGTAGCTTGGAACGGGCTGTTCCGGAATTGGAACGGGCCGTTCCAAACTACCAGTGAAAGTGTGAATTAGTAGCCTAGAACGAGCCGTTCTCAAGTTGGAACGTCATTCCAGACTATTAATTTTGCCTTTAACCCTAAATGGGAACAGGCTTGGAACGGGGCGTTCTTAAAATTATGGCCGGACCGCCGAGGCCCGTTTGGGCCGGTGGCGACAATCAAAAGTAAAACAATCTTGAGGAGTCTTCAAGATGTCTCATCATCTCTAACAATCTTCATCATCTAAACACATAGGTCAGCTAAAGCCTTAATGTTAGTCCAGCTTGGAGAGGCTGAGCTTAGAATATACTCACTCCTCAATGAGTTGAAAACCACACCATCGCAAGACGAGTAGAAGCGACATGGACCATCTACATGAAGACAAAAGATTAGGTGGTACATTTTGCCATCCTTGTCACTCAATGAAGTATGCAACCCAATACTTAACTACTCTAAAGAGTAGGGATACAAGCAAACCCATCTATCCAAAGGAAACAACATTGAAGCACCTACACGAAGAGACCAAGGGAAAACTTGGATGAAATGTCTACATCTTTACATGCCTTTGAAAAAGAAACACATATCTATCCAAAAGGACAATCAAAGAGGGGCATCTATAGACACCTACTTTTATCCGAGACATGCATGTAGGAAAATGGGCCCTTAGCATGAGATAAAGAAGTTTCTGAAGACTCAAAAATGACATCAGAGCAGACCAACATGACATCAAAAAGTCTAAAGCCCAAAAGGATTGAATTAGGAGCTTGGAATGAACTATTCCAAACTTCTAAAAAGGCCTAGAAACCCTAGGTTAAAATAAGTTGTTCCCAATCCAGAACGAGCTATTTTGACCCAGGTTGCTATAAGGTAAACTCAAATCCAGAATGCGTCATTCCGATTTCAAAACGAGCCATTCTAGATTCAAAATCTACTCTTAATAAACTGATCCGAAATGGGCCATTTAGGTTAGTCTAATGTCTATAAATACGAGCATCGTGCACAGTGCCGGGGACAGAAAACGGGGAAAAAATTGCTTACTAAAGTCCTTAGAGCTCAAATTTCTCTCTTTCTTATTCTCCTTGTATTTCTTGAGAGTTGAGGCATAATTGTCATGTGAAAGACAGACAAAAAGCGCCTAGATTCTGCCATTGAAGATCCAATAAAGCTCGGTCAAGAGGTATTTCATTAAAAATCCTTCCTTTAATCTATTATTCTTGTCATACAACATTATTAATCAATAAAACCATGTAGACATCTTAGGTGAGATCATGCAATTTTAAATTCAAATGTAAATAGTTTATGAATAAAAAGGGAGTAAATGTTCAAATTATTATTCTACATTACATTAATTTCATCATAAGGGTATTGATTTAGGACATTGTAGGGTGCCTAACACCTTCCCTGCATGTAAAAAATTCTCGAGCCTTATTCGGGTTATAAAGGCCAAGCTGGTATTTTTGAAAACCCTTTTTCTTTTTTCGATGTTTTGAGTAAAATATCGATGGTGACTACCACGAACCATTTTTCAAAATCATTAATTAGGGATTAGTCTGGTATTCGAGCATTCCTTGATTGATGAGATTTTCAAATAGAGGTCCAATCCATTTGTAGGTAAGATCATAATTTTTCGAGTTCCAACATATAGAAAAACCTAAGAAGCAAATTGATTTTATGACATTTTTTGACAAACTATTCAAGAAAACACAATAGAAACCTAACTCTAAGAATTTTCTAGGTCTAATAGTAAATATGAACTCAATAATGAAAGTAAAAAGTACTCAAAGCACATATATGTTAAGCCAAATTAGATTTAAACTCAAACTAGATAGAATTTTAAAACACACTAAAACTATAGGCTTAAACAAGCTAGACTAGGAATTTATGACATGCAAAGGACTATACATGACTCTAGACAAAACTTTAGGATTCAAAAATTCAAAAACACATACTACACAATGTTCATATTCGGAAAGACAAAAAAATTTAAAAAGCACTTAGCATAAGAAACCTAATAGGACTACACAGATTGGTTCGAGAGGCAAATTCAAATCACTTTGTGAACCAAAATTTTAAAAGACATAATAGATTCATCAATTATCATAAAAATCTACACAAAAAAAAAACTCAAGACATGTTAGGAACAAATCTGACAACACGGAATAAGGAAAAAGATACTTAAACCTCGAAGAGCAATCATGGCTTTG